ACACACACGCACACACACGCACACACATGAAGACAGCTAATGAAATGAGGGAAATGAGGGGAGCAGTGGTGTGAGCTCAGCATGACAGTGTGGTGAGCGAGGGAGGAAGGCAGATAGGAGCAAAGGACACTGCAGGGCCGGATGACACCAACTCGCAAAATCTGAGATAAGCAAATGTACCTCTAATACACTGTACGTCTGAGAAAACAATCAGCAGACAAAATGGTGAAACAGGGAACTGGAATATATTGCTTCTCACATACTGAATAAATGCCACCAAATCTTTATCTTGATGCTCACAACTCTGAATATGCATAATAAAACTGGACAGGAATGTTTATTAATTTGAAATTTCTTTTGCAAATTTAGAGGAAGTTAAAATATACACTACTAATGGATGACAATTTGGATGTTTTGTGGTTCTGTGAAAGTGGTTTATCGCAAACTTGATCCCATTTTTATAGTTTGGCCCATTATTGTTACTGGAATTACAACCTCACCTTGTATGCCCCAGTTAACCAATAAAGTTTCAATTCACATCCATGACTCTTCCAAACTCATATGATTAATGAGAAGACTTTGACTGGATTCAATAAGAGGCCTTGAGCGCATTTGGTCACAATTAGCATACGAAAGCCTGAGCTATGCCCTAAAACATGATTTCTAAAGTCACACTGACTGTTGACCGAAATCAGTTCATCCTTGAGTCAAAGTATCACTACTACAAAGATCGACAGGAAAAAGTAAAACAACAGAAATTGTTGACACGTTTCAGCTAATAAGAGGGAACACATCTATTCAAATCATCTCCTGCAGACGATGAGTTACTCCACATTGTTGACATGCGAAATTCATGTTTGAAATTCACTGTGCACGTCAGGAACCGAAAATTAATGTTCACAGGAGGTTTAGCTGGCAGCGAAAATTTCATTAAAAGTCCGGCGTGTGTGTGCCTTGTATTTGTGACATACACCTACGCAGGCTGCCTCCGCTCTACACTGGTAATCATGTTGAGGACCACAGAGGTGTAGCTGCCACAGGTAAATGATATCAGCAGGTACAGAGCAGAGACTGAATGCCATTACAGGAGAAACAGCCCTAGCAGCAAGGCATCCACTGCGCTTTGAAGTGCATTTGTCACATGAAACACAGTCGTGCTTGACTTCAAAGAGGACATTACAACAGTTCCACGCCTTTCAACTTTGATAACAACATCTTCACTGTTTCTTTAAACGGTCTGCTCTGGCTTTTTCCAGCGAGAGGAGAGAGAGGAGAGGAGAGAGAGGAGAGGAGAGRRGAGAGGAGAGGAGAGGAGAGAGGAGAGGAGAGAGGAGAGAGGAGAAGAGGAGGAGGAGACGAGAGAGCCTGCTAGACAATGATAATGATAATATCCCACTGACTCAGGACCCGATGAAGGTAACAGTAATTAAAAAGCAACAATGGCGAGCTAAGATGCTGAGCCCTAAAATAAGCATAAATATACACATGGATTTACAGAACACACACACACACAAACACACACACAGACACACACACAGACACACACACAGACATCCTTTGCAAGCACATGTTTACTTTCTAATATGCGATTGACCTTTTAAATCTAATAGTAGACCAGCAATTTAATTGGTGAAGTATCTAAATGACGCAACTGCTCAAAGTTTTATTTCCTGTCAGAGTTGGCTGTGCTTGCCATAATAATGTGGAGGTGACAAGGGAAAGAGACACGAACACAATCAAACACCAGTTATAATTACAATTACACACAAATACATACACTGTCACTCTTTGTTCCTCAAAACTGCAGGAAGCTTATGCTATTAATTAATTTTAGAAATCCGTTTCTCTACTGTCTTGCTTTCTCCAAATCAAAAAGAATGAACAAGAGCAAACCTTTTCTCACCTAAACACACACTAAGAGAATGACATCAGCAACCCGACACACTTTAACAGACGCATCCTTTTACAGCCGTGGAAGCTGCTGTCTCTCCGCAGGTGGCGGTGAGCGATAAAGAGGGGGAATCGATGTGGAGACGGGGAGATAAAACTACGGTGACGGACAGCGGAGAGCGCCTGCACGGAAATTGGATCACTGAAGCGCCACATATGCTTTAGTAAAAGGCAGAGAAACAGGAGGAGGTGAGGCAGAGAAGGAAGGGAAGGATGCTTGAGGACAGCAGCAGGGGTGCACAAGAGGGCAGACAGAAGAGAGTCCAGATTAACTGAAGAGAAAAGAAACCTCAAAAGGACTTCATGTTGGTGACTAACCATTCATCACATGGTTATCACTGTCAGCACTGGAAATGAGAAGGGTGGAGCTGATCTGGAATCATGATAACAGCTGACAAGGTTTAAATACTCCATGAACGTGTGCATGCGGCTTTTCTTTACCTCCCTGCTTTCTTTTCGATAACATTAACTCTTTCTTTTCCTCACAGAAAATGCACTTCTGCTAAACCAGTATCCAATGTTCCCCCTCTCAACGTCACAACACCACATCACATTTATTGCACTCTGTAGTGCACACAACCTCTGAGGTTTGGCCGAGGTCCACTGAAATTTCAGACACAAATGGCTTCAAGTTTTCTAGGCTCCAATAATCATAAGCAAGTATCATTAGGATTAGCGTTCTCATTTTATGCACCGACTGGTCGCCGTTGCCGCTTCATCGTACTGGCCATTACTAATTAACATTACGTCAGATCTGAACTACACTTGGCTGTTATGAGTCTACGCTCGCTCTGCACGCCACTGTCCCGTCAAAGACAGTTTGTGAGAGAAGATCAGCCACTGTGTAACACCACTGTACAAGCCTGAGTGGACTGGGTGTTTCTGCAGCTCCAACAAATCTGATAGAGTGGGACGTCTTCATGTCCTGTCATTGTTGTGGATGCCGTTCTCCAAAATTAACTTCCATTCACATCATATCAATCAATAAAACTTGTACTTTAAATCTTTGAATGATCACCTTGAATACTTTGATCGAAACTGTCTAACAAACCAGTAATGCGTTTTTGTTTTTATCTTTGGTGTATTTTTCTTTTATATTCTATTAAAAGTGTCGTTGAGTTTCAATATATATAATGTATTTAATGTGTGTGTGTATGTGTGTGTTGCAGGGTGTGTCCAGCTGTCTGGGAGTGTGTTGGGTGATCATGATGGTGGGCTGAACATTGTGATGACCCTCCCCTGACATGTACAATCTTCAGGCCTCCAGCATCCAGGCAGGCACCTTTAGAGAAGCCATTAGCAAAGTGAGCCCTTATATCTCCAGGGGTTTGACACGCTCTCTGTCACCAAGCAAGTTTAGCAGACAGTTAAAACTGTTTAATAATGAAAAATCACACTAGATTAAAACCAGCCAATAATGGTTTGTAAAGCATATGGTGCTGATTTAATTACAAAAAAAAATTCATTATTATCAGAGAACTGATTAACTCCTAACGGGAGATTAACACTATTCAATTAAAACCATGTGTTTATGCCAACAATCATACAAGTAGGAGCCATGTTAAATGCCAGATGACTCACATACAGGTGGGAATGTTAACAGAATGAATGTAACACTGTGAAACAGGCATGGTCATGTACTCAATGTGGGCAACTGTATCATACATAAGACTAATAACACGGGCACGAGCAAAACTAAAGCACGGAAATTGTTTGTCTCTATCAGCATCCCCCTCCCCTCACGTCTCTTTCAGCTGTTATCCTCCAACCAGACTCTGAGAGAAATCCAATTTCTGTGAACAGCACCATGTTGTCCTGATAGGATCTATCACCCAGAGCTAGAGCTGCAGCCAGAGAGGCAGTGTTCCGTGGACACATCCTGAACTGCACCTGCCACAAACACACACACACACACACACACACACCTGCATCTACAAATGCAGACACAACATAAACACATGCTGTAAGTGTCTATATCACATGTACCAACAACATCTGAATGAAGCATTCAAATAACTAAGAAAGGAGAAATTAAGCACGCACTAATAGCCAGAGCTCAAGTATTAGCCACAAAATGTAGGGTTAGGGTTATCAAGGGATATTCCAAGCTTTTCAACCCATAACTGTAGCATCTGTGTCACTATGGCTTGTCTCCACTGAGATTCAGGGAAACAAGGACACACAAAATAGTTTTAGAATCTGTCTGAAGGTAAACACAGACAGCAGCTGCCCAAGTCAACTGACTCCATCGTCCTGCATTTCTATCCACGCAACCAGCTTGTTTACATGTGTGCAGTTACAGTTATTATCAGACACATGTAACATGTTTGATGTAATACTATTTTATACTTACATTAGATATTAAAGACTGTACGTAAACAGGCTGAACTCATTTTACTTGTATCTAAATCTGCAAGTTAACTGACTATTCCCATCTGAAATGTATTTGAAATGAATGAGGTCTACACACAAGCACATACAAATTATAAATCATGTGATTTCAGTTTTACTTTTTAGGAGTATTGTCCTAAACTGGCCTCTTCCAAATACTGATGTTTGGTCTGAGCTGATCGATAAAGTGACACAGGCACTGATGGGTGGATCACAGCCTCTCCGTGTCTGTCACCTCAGCCGACAGCCTCTCTTTCACATCTCTCTCTCTCTCTCTCTCTCTCTCTCACACACACCACACTCCAGATGTGTCTGGTTTCACTGGGGCAATTTAACACGACAGCACTTCTTCAGACATCCAATACGGTGGACAGAGCGCTCAGAAATAAGCACTTTACCAAGTAATTTCATTCAGCTCAGTCCTGTATCTTTACATCTGGATTCCCAGCCGCTCTGGGAATAGATGTAACAGTGCAACAGAAAATGTACATGGTCCTGTTATTGTATGAGCTAAATGTGATGTACTGATTGTTATGAGGTTATTTTTTATTAAATCTTTGTGTCAGAGTTGTTTCAGAATTTTATATTTTGGCTCAATTCTGAATACATTTTTGGTTTAGTGTAACAAATGAAGAGTAAGTCAAAGAAACAAGTCATACCTTCATCGCCTGTGCTTTCTTGTGAAACATCTCCTCCATGTCCTCTGCCAGCCTTTTCACCAGCCGCAGCCCATCAATCTCCTCCACCCGCACCGCCCGCTCAAACTCCTTGTATTTCTGAAAGTAAACACACATGTTATCAGGATGCAATACTACCATTGTTAAAATCGATACATATATTGAGCTCATGCCAATGTTCATGATCCAATCGATACGTTTCATCTCACATCAGAGAAATAACCACATTTTTACAGCAAAGCAAGGTGATGAAGAAAATATGAAAATGTAATTTCCTAACTGGTTGCAGTCATTAGTTGAAGTTTTAAAAACAATTAAAACGCGAAGTTAAGACAAGTCAATACAAACAAGAATGATGCTCACTAGAGTGCATACCTCTGCCAAGGCAGTCCCTTCATGAAACCACATTAAAATTCACTTGCTGCTGATTTTTATTTGGATCTGCACCAAATTACACACACTCATAAATATTCCCTAAACATGCTTGATTTGTTTCATTAAGATCTGTGAATTACTCTCTGAGAAACTGGAAATGTTGAGAAAGGCCCTATCTCACTATGTTAGAGAAAGTGAAAATATTTTTGAGTCAGCCTTCCCTGACCCACATTGTATGCATTTGTCCCGACCCGACTCAGAAGCCATGACAAAAAGAGAGGGAGACGCAGGTTGAAAGCCACAGGATGAGTAATTTATTTAAAGAAAATTGTCTGACAATGGACATAACAGAGTTAGCATGTAATAAGGTGAGTTCATCAGTGGAATCAGTAGCGAGGGTGTGTGTATGCATGAGTGAAGCGTGTGCGGTGAGGGGATGATGTTGGATCGCTGAGAACAAAGCAACTACAAGGCATGAAAGTCAGGTTAGTGAGAGAGAGTCACAGCCGGAAGGACAGAGTTTTTATAGCAGGGAGAACACCAGGGAGTCCGCCCAACAATTACCCGCTGCATCACAACAACAACATAATAAGTTTACATCCCCCATCCACAAGAACGGGCTCCTGAGGGCAACCCCTGCACCAAAACATACATTTCATTCAAGAATACCTGTTACCAGTACCCCACTATAATATTTGACCAAACACCTTTATGTCTCATCTGTTACACCAGGATCTATGATGATCATACAAGTTTTGTAAAAATATGTCTAGTACTTTTTGTGCCCACCCCCCAAAAAAATAAATAATAATAATAACAGACCTACGGACATAGGTGAAAAGAACCCCCTTGGTGGAGGTAACTAGAATCACGTGCAACAGGTCTTTCTGTATAATGGAGCCAGAAGTAGTGGTGATTGATTGAATTATAGTACATCCATCTATCATCTATACTGCTCATCCTTTGAGGGTGCTAGGGGGCGCTGGAGCTAATCCCAGTTGACATTGGATGACAGGCATGGTTCACACTGGACAGGTTGCTAGTGCATCACAAAGACAAACTACCATTCACTCAATTTAGAGTCTCCAATTAACCTGACCTGCATTTCCTTTGACTGTGGGAGGAAGCTGGAGTACCCAGAGTAAACCGTCTTGCAGCACTAACCACAGCACCACCGTGCAGACTTGAATTACAGAAAAATACAATACACAATGAGGGACTAACAGCAATGCCGGAAAGTGCAAAGCTTTGTCTGTGCTGCTTCTCCAAACTAATCTACATATAAACGAATCCAATCAGCTCAGCAGAGAGAATTATCAGCCACCTTCAAGTTTTACCCACCACACATTTAAGTACTGATGACACACAGCCGCCCCTGGTATCTGCACTACACTGAAATCACATTATTCTCTTATAAACCCTTGCCAGGGTGCTTAGCTTAACCAGCGCCTTAACCAGGGGACAGTGACATTAAGTCTCACTAATACCCAACCATACATGCCCCCCCACCCCCACACACAGACATATATATATATACGCACACGCACACACACACACACACAGAACTGATCTGGACGAAGGGTATATTTGGACAGAAAAAAAAGGAAGAAGAAGAAGAAGAGAAAAACATTTTAAACATAAAAATATGTGCAAAGCTGCAGGCGGCTGTGTTTCACTCTTTGGGGATTTAACAGAAGATTACCGCCATATCAAAATGAATACTCTCTCTCATGTTATGCCAACCTGCTTAGATGCAGGCTCTTCGCTGCTCCTGCACAGCAGCACAAATGAGTAGCAGGGTGAGCAGAGAGACAGAGAGCACCAGGAGGAGGGGAGCGGGGAAAGCATCAGACACTCAGGCAGTAGTTTTAGGATTTAGGCAATCATCTGAAAAACTGCAGGACATCGGCAAACAAATAGAATATCTTTGTGCCTCAGACTAAAACTTTATAAGCATCGGTTCTTAGTTAGAAGATGACAAGAGAGAGTACAGCAACTAAGCAAAAAGTTCACTTGACTTAAATTAATTTCTCCCTAGACGTATCAGTTAACCGTGCCACGTCACAAAAAGCAGTCAAAGCAATCGAGCACACGAGGGACGCAGAGAGAGGATGCAGGGTTTGATCACTGATCGTTCTCTTTTTTATAAATGATCAAATATGGGTCAAATTGCTTTTTGGTGAAAGAAATGTTTGCTTATTTGCATTTGCATCAGAGACAAAAGAGAAATAAGGGAAGAAACTAAAGAAAGATGGACAAACACCAACCAGTGCAGTTTCAGTCTACAAACATTTCACCTCCAGACCCATATGAGGTCACCATGACCTTGATCTTTTACTATCCAAATTAAATCAGGTCATCTATGAGTCAAACTGAATGTTTGTGACATATTTCCCAAGCGGTGTTTCTGATGTATCACAATCACAAGAGGTCACCCTGACCTTTGACCATCATAATCTATTTCATTCACCTTTGAGTCCAAATGAACATTTGTATCCAATTTGAAGAAATTCTCTCGAGGTGTCCCTGAAATTTTGTGTTCACAAGAGCAAAAAGTGGGCACAGCAGCCTTGACCTTTGACTACCAAAATCTAATCAGATTATCCTTGAATCCAACTGAATGCTTGTACTAAATTTGAAGAAATTCTAACTCTAACCCAAAGACCTGCAAAGACAGGTATGGAAGAAAGGAAAAAGGGAAGATGGAAACATGTTAAGGGTGAGAAGTGAAAGTAGAACGTGGAGGAACCAGAAGATGGATAATCATAAATAACACTCAGAGATGATGTTGCAGTGGGAAGGTCAGAGTGGTGTGAAATGCTATCTGTAGTTGCAGAGCTGCAAGCTGACACAACTGCAGGAAACCGGCTCAAATCACTATATTTCCATTTAGCTTCGTATTTCATGACAAACATAGTAAGAAGAATGACTCGGACCACACAAAGTAACAGATCACATTCAAATCAGTTGATTGCTACATTCGTCATTACAAGCAAGCAATTATACCGAGTGCAAGGGCCAGAGCCCAAAGGTAGTGTTCCAGTGACGCCAGAACAATCATGGTGCTTGGAAACTAATTGAAAAATTAAAATTGAAAAAAAAAATTCTCAGCAATTATAGCGATTAGAGGAAAGGTCTAATTCATCGAGGTACATTTTGAGGAGATGAGTGTCCATCTTACGATGTAATGTAAGAGTGGGGGGTGGGCTTCTATTATGAAGGAGTGACAACTTTCGAGCGGGGCTCTCACTTTTTATTTTGAAATTCATAACAAACAGTCTTATAGCTCAGCAGACCGTCTGAAGTAGTTTGATTCATGATCCAGCAGGGGGCACTCACGATCAGCTTGCGTGGTCTCTTGACAATAGGATGTTACGTGGTTTTTCTGTGATAAAATGGAGGACCCTAGCAAGCAAAGCAATCCAATATCGTTTGTAAAAATTCTAACAAAACGCGATTTCTGGAAAAACTGACAGCCCTGAAGGAAGATTAAAGAAGCTGGAGCAGCGGGAACAGAAAAGTGCCAGTTAGAAGTCTGAGGGGAAACACTGGTTCATCTTTATATCCACATCACGCTGCGTTCACAACCACGACAGAGAACAGACTGCGTGTTGTTGAAAAGCTGCCGAAGTGGCGCCATCACTGTCACGATAATTTGCATGTCATGGCCAAACAGTTTGCGAATAAAAATTATTTCCAAAAGCCACAGCGACGCCCCCAAAAAATGTCTCTTTTCCACATATGATTAATAGTAAATTATGAAAGAAAGAAGAATGCAGAACTCACATTTATTTTAGACACAACCTTTTCTTGAGACTGTGTCACAACTGCCACAACTTTCTCACAAAAAAATTATTTCTGCACCCAACATCACTGCCAATTAATTGCAGCCTGCAGTAACATGGAGTCTGTGGCCAATCAAAGTGACTGGCTGATGACTCACAAGCCAAACTGCAGTGACCGTAGCCGTATGAAAGCCAGCATGATAATCCTTCTGCAGAATGTCAGCGAGACCGAAAATCCAGCTTTTAAACCAATCCTGGCTCCTGGCTCGTAGGAAGCTGTCAGGTCAACCGTGGCTCAAACCTGAACTGGCTTTACTGGTTTCTTCCCCAATTTCTTTTTTGTTCATTCGCCCTTTAGTGTCTCCTCAGAGCCTCATCACTTCTCTAGTTAAAAGTTCCTCTTTCATGTCGCCTCTCCTCTCCTACTCCCACTTCTTTTGCTAATTATAAAAATGAATGGGCTGACTTCATGGACACACACATGGATTATTCTTTCTCAAGAGGTTTCCCCAAGTCTTTCCTATTGAAACCAAAATACCTTTCCTCCACAGCTCAGCTAAATCCTCGTCTGTGAAACTGGTCCAGGCATAAGGAAAGCACACCGAGAGCCCACAGCCTGTGCGGAAGTGTTTATGTGTTTGTGATCACATTTGTGTGGTCAGTCGAGAGGCTGAGAGGCTCCGGCTGACCACAGGCTGTCTGCGGCGCTATGTTCAGTCAGGCTGACCGGAGCGGAGCGGGCCCAATTAGCCCGGAGCTATACTGGTCACATCACATCATCATAACAGGAGAGCCAACTGACATACATCCAGAACCACGACTTCCCAGGAGAGGGGAGATGGAAGCTTCCACAACAAGCTTTAGCAGCAACTTCAACACAAGAGTAGCAACGAAGTGAACAGGAAGACAACCAGATGAGTCTGATTCAGGCTCAGACAG